AGAGAGAGCGAGAGAAAGAAAGAGAGAGAGAGAGAGAGAGAGAGAATACCCTACATTCTATCAGATCACAATGGAATGTAATTAGAAATCAATGATAAAATAAAAAAATAGAAGCTACTGTAACAAATGGAGACTATATAATACTCTACAGAATGATGAAAAGGATGAAATAAAAAAATTCTCAGAGGTAAATGAGAACTCTGATACAACATATCAAAATGTCTGGGACACTATGAAGGCAGTTTATTGCATTTAGCACATTCATTAAAAAGAATAAAACGTCACCCAATAAATGACCTAACACTAGATCTCAAAGCCTTAGAAAAAGAAGAACAGATCAACACCAAAAGCAGTAGAAGACAGGAAATAATTAAAATCAGAGCTGAAATCAATGAAATCGAAACAAAAGTAAAAATTGACAAAATAAAAAATTGGTTCTTTGAAAAATAAATAAAATAGATTAATCTTTGGATATGCTAGTGAAGAGAAAATGGGAGAAAACACAAATTACTAAAATACAAGATGAAGAAGGAAATATCACGAGAGACATGTCTGAAATACAGAGGATAATAAGAAACTATTTTGAAAATGTACACTCCAATAAAATAGAAAATATCAAAGACATCAACAAATTTCCCTAGATATATGACCTACCCAAATTAAATAAAGAGGCCTTGCACCATTTAAATAGATCAATTTCAAGTAATGAAATAGAAATGCCATGAAAAGCCTACCAACAAAGAAAAGCCCAGGACGAGGGGGATTCTCAGCGGAATTCTATAAGACTTTCACAGAAGACTTAACACCAATACTCCTCAAAGTATTTCATAAAATAGCAAAGGAGGGAACCCTTCCAAACTCATTCTATAAGACTAATATCATCCTGATACCAAAACCAGACAAAGACAAATCAAGGAAAGAAAACTTCAGACCAATATCCCTGATGTAAAAAGTCTCAATAAAATTCTGCCAAATCGCATACAAAAAAAAATATTAAAAAACATAGTGCACCACAATCATGTTGGGTTCATCCCAAAGATGCAAGGTTGGTTCAATTTATGGACATCAAGAAATCAAGATAAACATCTTTATACCCTTAACAGAACTATTAGTGCAAAAGTTGATAAATTTGAAATATTGGAAATATGACTTAGACAATTAGGTTCCTGTTTCAATTAAAACAGAAATGATTCCCAATACTACTATTCTTAAGTCCCTCTGAGAATTACCTTGGGTGGCTGCCCATCTCCCACTTGTGTGTATAAATAGGACTACATTTAACAATTTATAGGGACATCAAGAAAATTCCATAATCAGAGTCTGGGAGAGTAGATGATTATCGGAACCAGAAGTAAGTCCTTGTTCTTTGGCCTCATTATCATATTATTTTTTAGTAAAGAGGAAATTATACTGCTGTTTCAGAATGAGGAAAATAAATGATTTATACTTGCCATTCTTAAAAGGCAGGGTTTCTGGAGTTTCAAATTAGTGGGGAACAGGAATCTTGATGTCTACCTCTGAACAATGTGCCTTCTCTCAATGGCTGTGTACAAAGAAGCAGATCTGTGTGTAAGAGCTTTAGGACAAATTTAACTTTAGTTTGCCTTATTTCCTAGGAGCATACATATACTCTCTTTGCTGCCTATGGCTACAGATTTGGAAATTGACTTAATTTCTCTGCCAATAGGCTTATTTACATTCATCGTGAGCACTTTGGTTGGTATTTTATAGCAGTATCTCTGGTGCAAAACCACCAGAAAAAGCAAATGCTTCACCAACTACGTGAAATGTAAAGCCATTTCAGATGTAGAATGAAGCTTACTCTGGGTAGAGGAGCTTGTAAACTTAGGTCCACATGAGCTATGAGCTCCTTATACTTTTAGGGTAAGATCTGGAGCATAGACATTAACCTTCTTGAAGACTCATAGTCTCATTTGAATTTTCAAGTAATTAATTTTACAAATAAATAAATGAAATAATCCCCAAATGCTTAAGATCCATTTTTACAATGAGTTCTTGTTAAAAGTTTGTTTATTTTATTTTCTTCTAAATTCCTTTTATATAGGGCAATATAATTATACACAATATTGGGGTTCCTGCTGGCCTAATTATATTATATATATAATTATTAGTATTACTTAATTACATAAGAATTTGCTTCAATTCAGTCCCCAGTCCTTTCTCTTTCCCTCCTTTCCTTATTCCCGTTAACTTTCCTCTGTTCTACTGGTCTTTCTTCTATTTATTTATGGCACTTTTCTTAATTAATGCAGTATAGATATATTCAAAGTGAAATTCACTGTGGTATATTTATAAATGTATATGGAATATTTTTTATTAGTTTTCTGAACATGTTTTCCTACTCACTTGTAAATGGGCAGACTACAGAATTTCTCCTAATAGCTAACTCCTTGAAATTGGTTATCTCCTAGAACATTCTCATCTGTGCTAAAACTCTTTCTTTGGGGCATCTTTTTATTCTTTTGTTTTTGTTTGCATTTTAACATGAGAGTTCTAGGCTTCAAAGTTGTATGCTTGACTGAAGGAGTTTGTGAAATTACAGCTGGTTCTGTGTTTCAAACTTGCTTTAAAGCTCTATTCTCATGGACTTGAAGTTTCTAGATTTTTGAAGAAGGATTTTTTACATTTTTTATCATACTGCACCCAGTGCATTCTGTAGCTGGTCCTGGTTCCAGGTTTTATACTGCCTGGCTTTCTTCTCTCCTTGAGCTACCTCTCTGCTGGTTCTTCCTTGTTGAGTAAGGGCTCCACTGGTGTAACTAGCACTCCCAGGACTTCCTGTTCAGTTTTCCTTTTCTGTTGACAATATACAAGTAATAAGCCCTGCTGGGATTTTCTTTTTTGTGTACTTAGTCATAGTTGTTTTTGCTTATCTCTCCTTCTCTAAATACTCTGCTCTACTTCATTTGCATACTCCTAGATCCCATCAGGGTAAAGTTATCAAAATAGTTTAAAATAACATAGGCAACAAATGATTCCTCTTGCAAGTGAACTCAAACGTAATTTTTGGCTATTTTTCTAATTTGAACTTCTCAAATCCAGTTTATCTTCCTTCCCTTTTCCTCTGTTCCAGTAACCACCATGTATTTACTTTCTGAGGCTTCTCAGGTACAAAATACTATGAAAAAAAAATCCCTATGGCTCTTGCTGATGCCATACAATGGAAATATATATATATATATATATATATATATATATATATATTTTTTTTTTTCCCAAGAATATTTAGGGCTGGGGATGTGGCTCAAGAGGTACCGAGCTCGCCTGGCATTCTTGGGTCCGGGTTCGATCCTCAGCACCACATACCAACAAAGATGTTGTGTCCGCCGAAAACTAAAAAATAAATATTAAAATTTTTTCTCTCTCTCTCTCTCTCTCTCTAAAAAAAAAAAAAAAAAAAGAATATTGCCTGCTTGATGGTTCTTCAAGAGTAGCTTCAAATAACCACTGACCCCTGTTCCCCAGTGAAGGCTGTTAAATTTGCTTACAGAGAAGTCACAATAGTGATGGAAAAGATTTTCAAAGAAGTCAACAAACTCTCAGTTGGACTTTTTGCATTTTCTACATGAAATCTACGATCACACAATCACTAACACTTTCAAAGAGAAATCAAAGGTATCTTGGCATCTTTTCTTTACCCTCCCTGGGAAACTTCTTAATATATTCTTTTTATCAGTTCACCATGAAAGAAAAAAAGTCACCTTTAGGGCAAGGTCTTCCTATTTGTTATTTGAAACATCATTTTTTTGGCTTTCTTTTCTATTGGTCTCTGTCCACTAGAAAGAATTCAGAGGGCAGAATCTTTTAGAATTCTTTCATTTCTGTGCCTACACGATATACTCACACTGTATATTAAGTATGGAAAAGTCTTCTTCATAAATATTTATTGTGATAAAAAATTCATTTTGAAGGAAAAATTTAAGAAAAAAAATGTATTTTTAATGCTCATCTTTTTGTATTTTCATGTATGCTTAATTTCAATAATTGAAGGACATACCCTGATTCTCAGAAAATGACCACAGGAAATGGCAGTGTGATAACAGAATTCATTTTGCTAGGGCTCACAGATCGCCCAGAGCTCCAGCCTGCCCTATTTGTGCTGTTTTTGGCCCTTTATCTCATCACCCTCTCTGGGAACCTGGGCATGGTAGTGTTGATCCAACTGGACTCTCGCCTTCACACGCCCATGTACTTCTTCCTCAGTAACTTGGCCTTTGTGGACTTGTGTTACACCTGCAATGCAACCCCACAGATGCTGAAGAATTTCTTATCAGAGAAGAAGACCATCTCCTTTGTGGGATGCTTTACACAGTGCTACATTTTCATTGCCCTTCTCCTCACGGAGTTTTACATGCTCGCTGCAATGGCCTATGACCGCTATGTGGCCATATGTGATCCTCTGCGCTACAGTGTGAAGATGTCCAGGAGAGTGTGCATCTGCTTGGCCACATGTCCTTATGTGTATGGGTTCTCAGATGGACTCTTCCAGAGCATCCTGACCTTCCGCATGACCTTCTGTAGGTCCAATGTCATCAATCACTTCTACTGTGCTGACCCACCACTCATCAAGCTCTCCTGCTCTGACACGTATGTCAAAGAGCATGCCATGCTCATCTCAGCTGGCTTCAACCTCTCCAGCTCCCTCACCATCATCCTGGTGTCCTATGCCTTCATCATGGCTGCCATCCTCAGGATCAAATCAGCAGAGGGCAGGCGCAAGGCATTCTCCACCTGTGGCTCCCACATGATGGCTGTCACCTTGTTTTATGGGACCTTGTTCTGCATGTATGTGAGACCACCAACAGACAAGACTGTTGAGGAATCCAAAATAATCGCTGTCTTCTACACTTTTGTTAGCCCATTGCTTGATCCCTTGATCTACAGTCTGCGGAACAAAGATGTAAAGCAGGCCTTGAAGAATGTCCTCAGAAGAAATATCATCAGGACATTGTCAATACCTCCACTTGACCATAAACCTTAACTCTAAAATTTTGGCTCAAATATATTTGCATTTTGATAATGAATTTCAGTATTCTCTGTGGTTATTTTAGGAGTTGCAGCTAAATTTTTATTTAGAAAATAACAAGTTGCCTTCATTTTTTGTAAGCCTACTCCCTCAACATGTATACATGGACTGGAGGCATTGGCATTATTGTGGAGGTTGTAAGAAGCGCAGAAATACATTCTTGATCTTAGATCTGTTACCTTGAAATCCATGTGTTAATCCAATCCTCAAGTGATTTGTAGGCTTATAAACTTCTGAGAACCTGTGCTCTCAGGTAAAATGTGGGAAAGACTGTTTATGTTTTTTCCCAAACTTGAATTGATACCTTTAGGACACTGATTTACTCTCATTGTTTACAACAGTAGGTAAGATAACATGTTCTCAGCTCAGAGCCCTCCAGTCAGTTTCTGATTTGTATTTTTTATTAAAGAATCTTTAAGTAACAAAACTTTGTGTATTCCTCTCCTGACTCACTAAGTGAAACCAAAAATTGTGTGTCATGATAGTGGTTTCCTGTTTCTTTTGAATCTGCTTATGTGGTGAAGAGGGCAAGAGGTGAAATGTGGGAAAGACTGTTTATATTTTTTCCCAAACTTGAGTTTTTGGATCTAGCTGAGTGACACAAACTCATCTCCTCCTTTGACCTCCAGCCTAGGGGGTTGCTCTCTGTTTCATCTGCTTTTTAGAATTTAGAAGTAGACTGATTAGAGAGTAAATCATATAATTAAAAGCTGAAATACAGAAACTGAGTTTGCAATAAGTTCTACAAAAAAACTCCCTTGCTTTAATTATCATTTCTATTCTCGATTGCATTAGTAAGTAAAACTTGGGCCCAGCACATGGCCTTTGTATGTTTATGTGGATGTAAAGATTTTTTTCTAGGAAAAGGAGGAAATCATTTTGACATTTTCAGAAACTCCAAGAAAGCATGATATATTTGTCTTCAGGATTTGTGATAAATTGAATGAAGGGAGAAATAAAGATTCTTCTTC